GTCCCTGCTGGTGATGCTGCCGGGGTGGTTCTAGAGGAATGGAGCCCTGCTGGAGGAGGTACAGCATTTGAGGTAGGATTCTGAGGGCTTATGGCATGACCCTGTTTCCTGTTCTCAATCTGCTTCCTGTGTGCAAATGAAGTATTTTCAACCAGCTCCCTACTCCTGCCTCCCATGCCTTCCTTCCTGTTGCCATGGCATCCTAGTCTGATGGACTCTGTCCCTCTGGAACTTTGACCTTTATCCCCTTGTTGTTTTTTGTCAGGGTGTTTTATCACAGCAACAGACTGAATCTAAGACTAACCCTCGTCAAGATGACAGCTGAGATTAGCTATCACTCATTAGCCATCACCCCATATCACCCCATCACTGTTTTGTTTTCTACTGTGTGCAGTTTTTTCTGTGCCTAAAGTTATCCTGCTGTTATACCTGTTAGTGTCTCATAACTATGTGGTGACCACTTTGGTAAAATGCACTGTACTTTTTTCAAGAGGAGGATGTAATTATTTGGGGTAGTGCAAATGTCTGTTTTCCTTAAATGAGGAAATGTAATGGTCAGGGTACTGTGTGGCTCTTGCAGTGGTTAAGGGCATTGCCATGCTGTTTCAAATGAAACAAAAAAAATAATTCTGGCATTAATGCAAATGAAGACCTAAGAGAGTCATATAACTTTCAGAAAGGGAAAAATAAAAGGTTTCCTATAAACCTGAGGGTTTTAGAACACATTAAGAGTTGAGAGCTACTAACATTATCTTAAGCCCTTTTCCTTTGACATATTATGGTACAGCTGTAAGTAAATGTGCTGATTTTCACATTGGTAAATCTTCCTCTGGGCAGGATGCTGCTCCCGCATACATTATCACTGAGGGTCTTGGAAACCAGTCAAAGCACCTTCAGACCTGTAAGCAGCTTGTAAACCTAAGGTTGTCTCTGATTAGAAAAAAGTAATATAAACAACGGTGACTTTCACGGAAAACATTACACAGCGAGAACTTCCTGGCTTGTACCATGGAGTCTCAGAGGTGTTAAAACTACACTACTGCTGACTCTTGAGATCCATGTGCTACAAAAATGTGGATTGAAACAGCTAGAATTCATTCCTTTTCTAAAAGAATTTTTTAAAATTTGACTTAAGCATTGACTTACAGAAAGTTGCAAAGGTGCTCCTGTGCTCTCTCTCTCTCTGACATTGCATCCTACACAGCTGTTACTCGCTCATCAGGAAGAAGTTAACGTTGGTCTGAGCTGACTCCAGAGTTGGTTTGGATGTTACCGCTCTTCTATTACTGTTCTGTTTTGGTTCCAGGATTCCACCCGGCATATCATGTTGCCACCCGTCATCAGTTCATCTTAATCTCCTGTGGTTTGTGACAGTTTCTTAGCCCATGCCTGGTCTCCTAGCATCCATCTCTGGGTAAAGGCGATGTCCGCCCTGTACCCCGTTCTATGACCGCCAGTTGTTAACTCCTCCTTTTCTTTTGCTCCCTAACCCTCTCCTGCCATTTCTCCTTTACGCCTCTGTCCTTTACCTACCATGTGCATCAGCCTGGGTTCTTTCTCAGCTTCTCTTCCTCACAAAGCAAAGGTATTTATTTTTTAACCTTGATTTTGTTTTGTTTATCACAGCATTGTGTGTATTTGCAAGTATGTGTGTACAACTACATATGTGTCGTGTACCATACATGCAGAACAAAGAACAACTTTTTGTGGAGTCTGTTCTCTCCTTCCACTGTGTGGGTGACAGGAATCAAACCCATGTTGTCTGGCTTGGCGGCAAGCACTTTTATCTGCTGAGCCATCTTGATGTCACAGCAGACGTGTTTTCTTTACCACAGTGGCTGGTCCTGTGTACTTGCTTCGTTCTGCCCACATGGATCTTTAAAGCATAACCAAAAGGTGAATTCATACTCAGATTTAAACAGTTCAGGTGAACCAGCCTTATATTTAGCAAATGAAAAGGTGTTCGTGAATCTAACATGAAGAACATGGCAAACTGCAAGAATAAGATGTTAAAACAGGCGAACCATGCATTTCTGAAGTTGACACGAATGTCCGTTATTAGGGGTCAGTCACTTTTCAGTGCTGTGACAGGTTAGTTAAGCAAGGAAGGGTTTATTTTGGCTCCTGATTTCAAAGACATTGATTCTTGGCTCTGTTTCTGAGCCTGTGGAGGAAACAGTGCATGATGGCAGAGGAAGCTGCTAACCTCATGGCAGCCATGAAGGGAGGGGACAGAACATGGTTTGATAGCATGCTCCCAGTGGTCCCTTCCTCCCCAAAGCCCTGCCATCTGAGTCCATCAGTGGATGGTACCCTCACGGTCTCTCTCCTCTCTAGCTCACTGCCTGGCAACAAGCATTAGCACATCAGTGTTTGGGGAACACTTCATAGGCAAACCACAGTGAAACCTGATCATACTGTCCACAGTATATCAGTGAAGATCATACTGTCCACAGTGTACCCATGAGATCATTCTGTCCCCAGTATACCAGTGAGGATCATACTGTCTACAATGTACCAGTTAAGATCGTACTGCCCACAGTGTACCGGTGAGAATCTGACTGTCCACAGTGTACCAGTGAGGATCATACTGTCTACAATGTACCAGTTAAGATCCAACTGTCCACAGTGTACCAGTGAGGATTCAACTGTCCTCTGTGCACCAATAAGGACTGTTGGTCATTTGTCACCTAAAGGCTTAGAGTAGGCACACAGTTATTTGGAATCTGGAGAGCAGAGCTGCAGAGTGGTTGAACACTGACTTGTGTAAGGATAGAAGGTGAGATTGAAGTGGCCAGTGTATATGGCTGGTGACCTGTGGTCAGTGATACTGGGCGTCTAAAAGGATGCCAAGTTTGTGGAACAAGCTAGACCAGTTAGTTGTGGTATTCTGAGACACCTATGCCTTTTTTTTTTTTTAATGATTCATATACTTGAAAATTTTGTGTTACTACCCAGCTATACAGAACAGGGCAGTAATAGGATATTGTATTTTGGGGACTCATTTTTATAGTATTCAGAAATCAGTGTTTGACAAAAATTTAAGTTAGAGAACCAGAGTTGCTAATAAACACTTAAGAAAGCAGAGAAAACTTTTCTATTTGGTTGAACAATTAGAACACAGACTACATGACTGCTGTCAACCTGTGGCTCATGACTCTTTCACAGGGGTCACCTAAAAAACCTTTGAAAACCACAAATAATTCGTAACAGTAGCAACATTACAGCTGTGAACTAACAATGAAAATAATTTTATGGTTGAGGCGAGGGCTCACAACGTGAGGAACTGTATTAAAGGGACCAGGTATTAGGAAGGTTGAGAACCCCTTTCTCATGGGGCTTTATAAGGAAACAAGTGTCACTTTACAGAATGGCAGCTCAGAAGGCAGACTGTAACTCCAAACAGGACAGAATGTGATCAGTTGTTGCCCAGTGTGGATGTTTTTGCTCTTTAATGCTGTTTCAATAGTTTTAATGGCCATAATTTGGGTTTGTAATAGTCAGCTTCCCTTCTGTGCTCTTCTGCAGCCGCAGGATGAGTTATGTAAAGTGTTGGCTTTACTTGCTGCTAATGAGGAGCTGTGCAGAGATTATAGGTTACAGCCAGGCTCATTATGAACTATGATTAGAGCTGGTTTGATTCAGCCATGGTTGCACTTTATGGAAAGATGACTGCTGCTTTTCTGAAAATTGTTATCTGGACAAAGTACGTGATGCTTAGCCTCATTGTAGCCCAAAGCCGTCCTAAGTACTCACCGTGCAAATAGGATGTGTTCGCACAGCTGGCTACTATACAGGTGATCACACTTTCAATGGCTAATGTGAATTCTGAGATAACCAAAGTGAGATATAACTACACAGGGGATGGATTTGTGGAGGGGGGGGGAATGTTTGTGAACGTGGGTGTTTACAGATTTGCGCAGGGGAGGCCAGAGGTTAATAACGGTATTGTCCTTTGTTGTATTCTACCTTATTTTGTGAGTCAGCATTTTTGACTGAGCCTGGAGCTCACCCTTTGAGCTAGACATGTGCTACCATTTTTCTGGGAAGACACACGCTTACATCTCTACTCACCTCAGAAGGGGAACCCATGGTAGACTGGACAGCAACGTGAGACTTGGTGAATCAGTGAGGTTTTGTTGGGGTCACTAACGGGACTTAGGAAGGGGTCAATTACGAGGGGCAGGACAACTCAAAAGCAAGTATGTCACCCCAGCTCTCGTGAAGCTTCAAAGCCTTAGAACCCTGTGCACAGCTAATGGGCAATTCCACGTGCCCAAGTGTCTGCTCTCCACAGCTGCAGCTGAGGGTCTCTCCCCAGCAGCTCCTGTCTTCTCTGTAAAGCTGGGCCTTCTAGAGTTTTCACGTTTTTACTTCCCCAGACATGGGGCATTTTCTTTATCTCCAGTGAGATAGAAATCTTGTGAGCCTCCCCCTTCACTCCTAGAGGGAACATGTCAGTCAGAGGTCACTGCTCTATAGCATCCTCCCCCAGTCTGGCTTTCCTGTGTGTGCTGGGGATCTGAACCTAAGTCCTCACGGTTCTGTGGCAAGCTCTCTCCCACCTCGAATGCAGCAAGCATCTTCCCAGCCTCTGAAGTAGTTTTGGGGTTGTGGTTTTGCTTTATTTTTGTCTTTCGAGACAGCCTCATTCTGTAGCCTGGAACTCACTGTGTAGCCCAGGTTGGCCTTGAATTCATGGCAGTCTACCTGCCTTAGTTTCCTAAGTGCTAGAACTATAGATCTGAGCCTGAATTAGTTTTATTTTTAAAAATACAACCTGATACATTATTTTTAAAAAGTTCTCCACCCCTCCCCCCTTTATTGGTTTCTTTGGTATCACTCTGCCCATTTGCTTCCCTCCCCCCCATCTTTAAAACTCTACACCCCGCCCCGCCTCCATCTCTGCTGTCAAGGCTGCTGCCCCTCCTACACAGGAAGGTGAAGCTGTCTTTCTCACGTTGGATGACCATTCAGGTGGCCTTTTCTCTCTCCCACAGTGATCTAGAGCCTGAGTGGCTGGACAGTGTGCAGAAGAATGGAGAACTGTTCTACCTGGAGCTGAGTGAGGAGGAGGAGGAGAGCCTCCTTCCAGAGTCCCAGACTGTGAACCATGTGAACCATGTCAGGTTCAGTGAGAAGGAGATCATCATTGAAGAGGACGATTCCAGAGAACGAAAGAAGTGTGAGCCCAAGCTCCGGCGCTTCACCAAGATCTTGAAAAGCAAAAGCCTTTTACCTAAGCGTCACCACAAGAAGAACAGCAGCAACAATGGGCCTGTGTCCATTCTGAAACATCAGTCCACCCAGAAGACCGGAGTCACTGTGCAGCAGCGGTACAAGGATGTGACCGTCTATATCAACCCCAAAAAGCTAACGGCCATCAAAGCCAGGGAACAGGTCAGACTCCTGGAAGTGCTGGTGGGAATCATCCATCAGACCAAGTGGAGCTGGAGACGGAGTGGGAAGCAGGCAGACGGAGAGAGGCTCGTGGTGCATGGCCTGTCGCCAGGAGGCTCTGCTATGAAGAGCGGTCAGGTACTGGTTGGTAAGTGCTGCAGCCAGCTCTGGTCCTTGTTTACAGAGATACCTGGTTAAGGGCGGAGCCTGTGAGCCATGGGGTAGAAGACAGAATTTTCAGTCTCCAAGTAAAGTCAGTACTATGGTGTCCCACATGCCCTAGTCATGAAAGAACTGCTTCCAGGTACCAAAGACACATGCCACTGGGTCAGACTGGCAAGCAATCTAGCCAGTCTTCAAGTTTTGAATAATATAATTTTATTTCATCTTGGTTATGTTTGCTACAAGAAGAAAGTAAGTTGATTATACAGTGATCATTTAGGCTGTAATAGCTGTATCCAATAACATGATACAAAATATGTAATTTATGAATAAAAATACTTTTAAATTGTATGTTTGCACTCGAGGACACCAAGTTCTTGGAGCGGCTGCAAACTGTTTTACTGACCCTCTCAAGGACAGTGCTTATATACATAAGTTCCTTTGTAAAGGCACTTGGCTAAAATATCCCACCAGTTTTGAGCAGAAAAATACAAGTTATTTTGAACATATCAAGTATTTTTGCAGTGCTGATTTTAAGCTATGTGATATAATGTATGAACTAGTTAGCAACTTTATTCTACTTTATAAAGATAAGAGGTAATCAGATGTGAAAATATATTCTTTCTTGTAGTTATTTATTGATTTGTGCCTGAGCTCATGCTCCTGGTCATGTGTGGAGGTCAGGGGACAGCTTGCTAGAGTGGGTTCTAGAAACTCAACACACCAAGCTTGTTGGCAAGTGCGTTTACCCACTGAGAATCTCTCTGGCTCTGAATACACATTCTTAACAAAACTTAAACTTGTAATCATCCTAAAAGGTGCCAGTCTTCTCAGTGGACCTGGCTTAAGCAGGAATTTTAAAAACATTTTGAAATGTGTCTGACCTGAAGTCCAGATTTCATCATTTGCTCATTGATACAGAACACATCTGAGCACATGCTAAGAGCCAGGCATGCAATGACAATGTAAAAATTTATGTAAAGCAGCTCACGTAATACATCAGAAATGGGCAGTGTCATAGCACGACAGACACTGTGACAGAGCATCACACAGATAATTCTCAGGAGACAGTCTGAAGGGTATCTGTCACAGCATGGGCTCCAAAATGCATCTCCACATTGTTGTACAGTGAGATGTGGTCTAGCCAAAGCAGCAAGCATCTGATCCAGTGGGAGACCCTCTCAGGGCAGGAAGGCAGAGAGTGATTAAGGAAGACAGCCAGCTCCTTATTCTGGCTTCTGCATATACATAGGAACAACACCCACACATTTATCCATGTCTCACACACACACGCTCACACTTACAATTCTTGTGGGGAAAAATGGCCACATAAGAAAGGTAGAACACTGGATTCTGGGGAAAGGATTTACCTTCCAGTGTTTCCTTTGCCTGCACTGGCGTTCATTCTAGCTGATGCAGCTCCAGGAGCTTTTAACTTATAAAAGCCTCCTCTCTTGAGGAAGCCATCAAACTTACTGACTGCTTGTGGAGTGCTTGACAGTATATAAAGATACAATAGTATATAAAGACACAATAGTGCAATTCCATCATCGTTGCTGTTTCTGCCAGACGTGTGGTCTGGATGCAAGTGCACATGGAATGGCTTTCCACACACTCAAGGGAGAGCTGAGGATGGAAACATTTAATGCGGAATGTTCGTGTTGGTATATACAGAATAGAGGAGCATCAGGAAAAGCAGCCCCATGCAGAGACGGTATGTGAACTCCAAGCATTGTGCCCTAAAATAAGCTGCTGTTCATCATTCAAAGCCTTCAGATAGCTTGTGATCACGAGACAGGGCCGGCTGCCAAGCTATGGTACGTGATCTCTCCATGAAGTAAGTATACATGCCAGGTAGCCTTTTTAGCTTTGGGGGTGTTTTGTTTTTTAAACTTTAGATATTTTTTCCTCTACTATTTTAAAGTGTCAGCAGTCTTTTGTATGACTTATAGGGTGGGGTTGTGTGGTGTGTGTGTGTGTGTGTTCCCCCTATATACACTTATCCATCATCTCTAATAATGGAGGTATAACATTATATAAAACATCTTACAAAGTCTCAATTCATTTTATTTATTTACTAATTTTCAGATTAGACTCCAAGGGAATGAACTGTTACTAAGCTTGGCATGCAAACTATGGGGTCCTCACGTATATACCCAAGTGCTGGCCTTGATCTCCTGACTCTCCTGCCTCCACATCCCGAAAGCTAGGATTACAGGCATGTGCCATTAAAGCCTGGCTCAAATTTTCCTTAACAAATAAAAGGCTATCGTTTTCCCATGCCTGCTGCATTTGATGACTTGAGATTTCTCAAGCTCTCAGCTCCAGTAACAGATTGTTGGTCTCAGTATTTCAGTACGACCACAGTTAGGACACTGCACAGCCACCGACTATAGTGATTTGCCTGTAAACATCTCTCTCTTTTTTTTTTTTTTTTT